TAATCACCCATACATAACATTTTACTTAAAACTCTCAGGACTATCATCATTCATATAATTTAATTATCACTTTCTTCATTTAGCCTAATATTTCTTCTATTAATATTGTAGATTTTTATCTAGGAGTTTACATCCTAAATCTTAATTTAACCCATTTTATTTTCAAGTTTAAGTTTTTATATTTTTAGAAAATTTTAGCTATGAGCTTATATTGGCGAAAACAGAGAACGAGTAAACGATGCTGGTTAGTGCATGTTTGCTTTGGTGGAAGAGAGAAAGAGAAAAAAACAGTGGGTTATGGAAGTTTTAGGAATATGGAAAGAGTTTTTTTGGTAGGTTGCCTTTTTTTTTAATTTATAGGAAACTTATTTAGAGTTTTAGAGTTCTAATTTTTAGGCTTACTCCCAAAATCAAGGAATATATTCCTGTTTAATTTTTTTTCATCTTCAAATATTTCTTGTTTTATTTTTTTCTCTTTAGATTTTTTTTCCCTTTCCCCTCACTTAAAAACCTTTAAACTATTGTAAGGATGAAATAAATTGATGGGTGATTTGCATTAAAAGTGTCATTAATCCTCATATTTTACATATATATATATATATATATATATATTTTATTTGGGTTTTGCATAATAATTTAGTTGAAGATTGAAGCAAATTCTAGTTAAAAAAAGTGCTCTAAATTTTGTCCAAATATCAGTTGCATTCTAATCCTTAAAAATGCTAGTATATGATGCACTTCAAGCTTAAACTTGTTTCATATTGTGTGTAAACTTCAACCACCAAACATTCAAGGTTTCAATGCCAATTTTAGCTAAAGTAATAGATACATTTTTATCCTTGTTTAATGTCCAAAAATAGCCTACAAATCAGCCCAAACTCAACCCATAATCAGTCCACCAACAATAACACTTGACTTATTCTAGGTAGTTAATTAATCAAAGAGAGCAAGCACATGGATAGAAAGATAGACGGTATAACATTACATCATTTTAGGTCAAAACAAGAAAAGAAAAATATGTACCAACATCTTCTCCAAGCTAGCCAAAGTTTACTTTCTAGAACAACCTTTGGTATATTGCTTACAATATTTGACTCTGATGTCTAAATGAGTAGTATTTAATGATATACAAAGATAACAAAACTATATATAAATATGTACCTAATAGACATCTCCAAAATTAGAGTTAAATTTGTGTTAAAAGTTATACCAAAGTTGTATTGTGTTCTTTTTTGTAGAATTTAATTATTTAGTTTGTAAAACTTCTTATTTGAATTTTAATTCAAGTTATTTCACTTTTATTCAAGTGTTTATATACATAATGATAGTTGGCCAGTCTCTTTCTTTGTTATAAGGCCCTGTTTGTTAGCTAAAAAGTAGTTTGCTTTTGAAAAGTGAATTTTGGAAAAATAAATTATTTTTTAATGTTTAGTAGTATAATAGAAAATAAATTGAAAAACATTTTACAGTATTTAGTTATGTCATGAAAAATAAGATGAAAAATAACTTATTAATGCTTTATTTTTCTCAAGTTTATTAAAATAATGAGAAATAAATCTCAAAAAATTAAAAAGTTGAATGAGAATGAAATTGAAAAAAATTATAATTTTGTAAATGATCTCAAATAAAATAAATAATAACCAAATAATAGAGATCAAATAAAAAAAAATAAAAAAATGAAAGATGAAGAAATTAAAATAATAATAATTAACATTTCATAAATTATTTCAAATAAAATAAATAACAATCAAAATAATGAAAACCAAATATGATAGATAAAAAATTTCAATAAAAAAATTTATAAGGAAAAAGCAAATAACAATTATAAAAATGAGTACCAAAGTTAATATAAAAATTAAATTTTAAGAGATGAAATTGAAAAATAAATATTCAAAATAAAATATATATGACAATTAAAAGTTTGAGAACCAAATTTGATATAATCAACAAATAATATGACATTTCTAAATTTTTCACAACTTTTAAAAAGTGTTTTCCGCCCAAATTTTCCAGGAAAATACTTTCTTGGAAACCAAGCTAAATTTTTCTTTGACTGAAAAATATTTTCTATTAACCATCTTTTCTAATGGCAAACAAATACAAGAAATTTTAAAAAATGGTTTCCAGGAAAGTGAATTCCGGAAAACAAATATAGCCTAAATCAAGAATGATTGTGATTGAGGTGAGTTCTTTGAAGTATAAATAAACTTTAATGTTTTATCTTTTCATTTTTTTTCATGAATGATTGATTATTGTAAATAAAGTTTAGAAATAATTTTGGTAATATTATAATCTTAAATCTTAGTGCACAAATCTTGGTTTTAGTAAAGAAATTGTTTGATTCAATGTCTTACATAATGTGAAACTACTAGTCCATTCTTAAGCAAGAATTCATATTTATTTCTTTAAACTTCATTATAATATACTTAGATTTAATATCATCAATATTGATGTTAGGTTAAGTTATCTTAAATTTATAGAAGTAATCAATAATACATCACCATTAAAATTTATTTGGAGCAAACACTTTGTTTTTATTTCTTTATCATTTAATATCTATTTACATTCATTAACCTTTTAAAAAAAAATTATTAATCATTTTTAACCAAGTTATTTTTAATTTAATCTCTCATGAGTCTTTTTTTTGTTACCTAACTTAATTTCTAAATCCTGCTCTTTGTGGATATGATATTGATCTTACTGAGTTAATTTCTACATTACACACTCAAACTCTTGTGAGTTAAAACAAGTTAATATAGCATATAACGGTGAAGCAATTTTGGTGCCATTATTAAAGAGTTAGTAAGCAAAGGTAACAACGAGATTGATGATTGGAAAACATAATAAGAAAAGATAAAGAAATAAATTTACATACACAAAAGAAAAAAAACAATTATTATTATTATTATCATTATAATTATTATTATTATTATTATGTGTATAAGTATGAATCTATTCAAAAAAAATCTTTTCACATATGTACTTACATCAATTATATTTACAAGTCATTATGTGAGTTGATCCGTCTATAAATTAAGTATATGAATGTAATTAATTTTATCTTGACAAAATTAATCAATTAAGTGAGAATCCTTCATAAAATATGATTAAAAATAAAACCTATATCACAAAATTAATCTAGGTTACATTTTATGTCATATTAATTATTTATACTTTGAATCTACTCTAATATAAATAAATTAGAAAGCCTAAATCTAAAGTATATTAACCAGAAGATAACTTTTAACAATAAAGTTCTTGCCTTTTCAGTTTAATCCTAGTCTAAATAAAATTTTATTAAATTTGCTTTTCTAGATCATGATGAGATATCATCCAAACTCAAAATTAACAAGAATTGGAGTAAAACTTTCAATTTTGTATCAATTAATCTCGTATCATATTTCAAGAGTGGTCTAATTGTATCAATTAGAAGTTGGGTACAAATCTGTAATTATAGCATGAATTACAAGTAGAAAAAGTATAACAACCTTACATGAGAGTACAATAAATGTTTGGTTGCTGCACCCGCATAGGAGCAAGTCAGAGGTCGAATTAGGGTGTTCCAAGAGGTTGAGTACAACGAAGAGGACAAAGATGGTGGTAGGGTGCATCTTTTTTCTTTTTTTCTTTTTTCTTTTTTTTTTGATTTATGTGGGGTGTCCGGACCAGCTTACGCGCACCACGATTAATCCCCACGGCCCACTGAACATCCTGCAAGCCCCAGTGAGTAGGTAAGGCACCGCGAAAGTGACAGGCATGCATGGTGAGGTTCGAACTCAGGTGTGGAGAAAGGGGACAAGCCCCTCCCACCGCTAGGCCAGAACCTCACTTGCATGGTAGGGTGCATCTTTGATTTTGTGGATGAGAGAGAGAGAGAGCAACAAGCTTTGAAAGTTTAATGTGTGCAGTGAGTTTTTGTTTTGGTAGGCTTTTTGTACTGAAGCCCCATTTTTTTTTTTCCAGTGAGTAGGTAAGGCACCGCGAAAGTGACAGGCATGCATGGTGAGGTTCGAACTCAGGTGTGGAGAAAGGGGACAAGCCCCTCCCACCGCTAGGCCAGAACCTCACTTGCATGGTAGGGTGCATCTTTGATTTTGTGGATGAGAGAGAGAGAGAGCAACAAGCTTTGAAAGTTTAATGTGTGCAGTGAGTTTTTGTTTTGGTAGGCTTTTTGTACTGAAGCCCCATTTTTTTTTTTAATGGATAGGCAACAACTTATTTATAATGCTAGGGTTATGATTTTTAGTCTTGCTCCTAAAATCAAGAAATATCTCTCTTAAGTTTTGTCCTCTTCATATTTTTTTTCCCCTTTTTCTCAAGCTCAAAAAAGAGGAAATAAATTTACAAACGTTTCCTTGTATTGTCTAAAATTGGACTTGGACTGCTAAAAAAATTCAATGTTTCATTGTTCCTTAAAATTTTTATGTTTAAACCCTATTTTTCAAAGAGGGATAAAAATTGGATGATGACAACCTTCATCAGCTTAAGTTAAATAATCAAGTTCTCCTTGGGGTTCAGTCGAAGAGATGGAAGCTAAATCATCGATTCAACCATTGGCATAATTGCATGCACTTTCTTTTGTGTGGAGTGAGAAAAGAAAATTCGTAAGGAAATACATACCAGTAGGAGCATTTCCTATGACGGAAGCAAAAAGGATTTTGCGAGCTGGCCAAGCAGAACCAACAAGTGAAAAATTAGCTGAGCAGAAACTCCCCGCTTCACATTCAAAAGCAAAACTTGGTTTAAACATATGAAATCGCATGTGGAGTTTACAATGCTTCTATTATGTCGTAAGAAACATGGAATATGTGTTGATTTATTAACATTCAACAAACCAAATCCCAACCCCTCCGAAAATCAAACAAATCTGACTGTAAACTGTAAAATATCGAAAAAGAATAACATGCAGAGAGGTCATGACTGGGCAAGATTGATCACAAGTAGCACTCCATAAGGGGGACAGACTTTTTTGATCCAACTCAAAACATCAAGCACCAATGTTTCAGAAGAAAACTCCTCTTTACTCTCAACATAAGTTTTGATGATTTCATGAATTTGTCTATGTCATGGGCGTGTTGAGTACTATGAACAAATATAAACACGCATGGTCCAAAATGAAGTGAGCTTTTTACATTGTATCAACACATGCTTCCATAATGAAACATCATGGTTTCATTGTTGTTCGGCCTAAATATCCATCAATCATGATTTATTTTACAATTAAAAAGATCTTTCATCACACAGACGAGAAGAAGATTTTCTGCTTCCAAGAAAAAAAGAAAATCATTTTGGGTTCCGAATGGATTTACTGATCAACCTTTAGTACCATGATTTCCACCCACATCTCGTGCTCTCTCAGATTAGCATTTTGCAACGCTAATTGGGTAAAGATGACAAGTAGATACTTTACCGACCAAAAGGAAAACAAAACATCTATCCAGTACAGATCCTAAGAGTCTAACGGTATAAATAACAAAATCATTCAGGGGCATGGATTAGGGATCCTTGCATGAATGTTGTTGATTTCTGCAATTATTTCAGGTGTAAGCTCAACCATACATGCTTTAAGAACCTCATGGAGCTGCCATGATTTGGTGGCTCCAAATACCGCGCTTGCAACAAGAGGGTGTTTCAAAACAAAGGCTGCAGAACAAATAAAAATAAAATTGTAAATTAAAAACAATGGAAATGGCTCAGGAACCACTATAACTATAAGGGGATATAACATTTTCCATATTAAAGATGTACATATGCAGATTTGATTTGGAAGCAACAAAATTCCAAATTCAGTCCACTGGTAAGTTCAAAACTTTCAGAAAAAACTAATGTTGCAATTTGTTTAGTACTTCATATCTTCGCAGTACAACTTTAAGATTTTACCAGCATGAGAGGAAATTAATCATACACACAACTGGAAAGGCACCAGCATTGAGAGAAAGAGAGAGATCATACCAATAGCAAGAGATACAGGATGAAGACCATTTTTTTTTGCAATGGCAAGATATTCCTGAAAACAGCATCAGATGGAGAGAGTCTGTTAGGAAGGACTTTCTTTCCCCCTATTCTTGTGATCCTAAAGCACACAAATTGAAGTTCAAAACTGTAAGAAGTCATCTTACTAAGGCAGCAGCTTTTATGATGTTATTGGAGAGGTTGTACCTTGACTCCCCTTCTGAATACATTCCTGAAAACCAAAGACAGCATCATTCATGGGAAAAAAATATGGTCAAGGGAGTTCAATCTAATTTATGGAGAGTTGTGAAATAATAAAGCATAAAAAAACAGTGAACAACCTTTAAAAACATTTAATCGCGCATCTACTGGACCCCCATCAGCTGCAAAATACTTCCCAGAAAGTATGCCCATTGCCAGGGGACTGTATGCCAATAAACTGATCCTAAAAAGTTTCAAAGATGCAAAAGAGTAATTAATCATTAAGTTAAAGACATAGCTAAAATAAACCACTTTCAGTAACAAAATCCAATAGATTTAGAACCCATATGATATGTAAACTGGAAGTGGCGAAGCTGGCTTGCATTCAAGGGAAACCTTGTAGCAGGCCAAGGTGGTGGTACACTGATACGAGGAACCAACCCCCTCCCCAACATGGCAGCAGAGCCTTTACAGAGTCATAAGCTCAAATTAAAGTTTTCAGATCAAAAGTCTGTTTGCTCAATCCACTAACTCATTGTAAAAAGTTGCACAAAAGTGGATACATGCCACAAATCAACTTCTACCCTTAGCATACAATGACAGGTGGAACACAACATACCCTTCATGGTGAGAGCACTCAGCTATTCCAGCATCAAAAGTTCGGCAGAGCAAGTTGTAGGAGTTCTATCATTGAGACAATGAGTTGAACATTAGCCTAGGCAAGAGCACGGAGAGAAGGTGGAACAACAACAAGACAAACAACAAGCATCACTTCACTAAAGAGGAACAAATGATACAACCTGCACAGATACTATTTTCGGATAATGCGCAACCCTGTCAGCAACTTGACTGAACTTCATTACACCATATGGTGTTTCATTACTGACTCCAATGTATCTGATCTACATACAGACACATTTATATTAATGGGTGTCATGTTTGCAAGAGAGTGGGTATTCATGCATAACATTCTATCATTTACTTTCCCTGCAGCAACAGCTCTGCCTAGAGCATCGAGTTGTTCCTCTATACCAACCGAACAGAACTGACGGGTGGGATCATACTCAGTTTCTCCAAACATCGGAACATAGCTACAAAATTAAAAAACCATAAATTACTTGAACAGAATAACAAAGAGCTGGGTCGAAGCTAGACAAATGCAAATATTTAATTAAGCAACCATAAGAGCTTTTCCTCCAACTGTTAAAAATTAAGTCTACTGGTAATATATCAACAAAAAATAAGGATCTACAAACAAACCGATCAGGCCAATGAATTTGGTAAAGATCAATGTAGTCAACCTGCATTCTCTTCAAGCTGCATCAATAAAAAAATTATTTAGTCAATCTGAGCATAATAGAAATACAATTACAGATAATAAAACATTTTGATTTTGACACATAGTTAAAATTTAGAACCAACAAACCTACTGTCAATGGCGTCAGTGATATTCCTAGAGTCCAGACACTTGGGCCCGCCTCGAATCCAAGTCATTTGGCCTGAAGGTCCAGCAACCTTTGTTGCTAAGACAATGCGATCCCTCGGAATTTTCCTTCGTTTAATCCAATGGCCAAGGTACTCTTCGCTCCTTCCCTGAGTCTCAGCACGTTGAGGTACCGGATACCTAAGAACTGAAAATGTGAGAGAAATGAAGGTAGATAAAATGGAATTTGAAAGAACAAGCTAAAAGGGAGGAATTAAACATTTCAGCAGAGTCGAAGAAGTTGATGCCGGCATTGAAGGCTTCGTCAAGAAGGCCAAAGGATTGAGGCAGCGAGTTCTGTTCACCGAAAGTCATTGTTCCTGGAGTACACATATATGTATAAAGAGTTAGTTTTAGGTACAATTTGTTGTTGGAATTCAACTCAAATGAGGCAAAGAAAAACCTAAGCAGAGTCTTGAAACTGTCAAATTAGGAGCGAGGTTGAAGAGAGGAACAAGCATTGTTAAACAAAAATGACAACCGCGCTTCCGACCACTCCTCAACCCCCTTATCACCGCAAACCCACCGCCATAACCCAATCCGCTTCTGTAGTTTGGTTGTGTGCTATATCTTATAAGGTAGCTCTATCACAAAACTGAAGGCAAGAAAAAACTTCACAGAAAATCAAAATAAGTCGACTATATATATATATATATATATAGACACACACAGGGTATGGCATTCTTGAGTGAACTCCAATCCGTGTTTTTTTAAAAAAAATTAATTTATTTTAAATTATTATTTTTTGATATTTTAAAATATTTTTAATGTAATATAATAAAAATAAATTTTAAAAAATATAAAAAAAATTATATTAAAATATATTGAAAAAAGCATTTTAAAAAACAACTAATCAATTATTATATTAAAAATAATTTGAATTTTTTAAAATACCTAGAAATTAATCACATAAGATTTTACTTGCTTTAATTAAATCACTAATCAATTTATTAGAGTTATCTACATTTTATTTTATCAATATTTAAGATATTAAACCTACATAGTCACAATCTAGATGGAAAGATGGTTAAAAACTTATATTTGTTTGTTATATAGTATTAAAGGCTTTCTAGAATTGATCTATACATCAAATAAAATAAATGAAATTTTTTTCCTATTAATTTTAATAACATATATTTTATACCAGTTTGATATATTTAAATAAATGTAATAAATTTTCATGATAAGTCTAGAAAGTTGATAAAGGGCATATCTATCACTAGCCTTATGGCGGAGTCCTCTCGTTCTTTTTTTAAAATTTGTTTGGAAATAGGGTTATGGTTGCTTTTCAAATAGTTTTTCGTGCCTAAATACATGTTAATGATATTTTTTTATTTTAAAAAAATTATTTTTGATATCAGCACATTAAAATGATTTGAAAACACTAAAAACATATTAATTTAAAGTTAATAAAAAAATAAAAAAATTTAAATTTTTTTCAAAAATACAAAGAAAATGCAGAAACAAACAGGGGCTTTATTCCGTTGCATGATATCCAAACAAAGAAAATATCAAAAATACTATCATTTCCTTAATTTTAATAAATTAATTTAAATAGAATTGACAAATTTTTGTCAAAGCTTTTTTTTTTTAAAGAGTAAAATAAAGGAACACCTAAACAAAAGGAAAAACGTGATAATTTTATACATAGCTGATGGATTGTTGTTTTTTTGGTTGATTTTTTTTTATTAAGTCAAGTGTTATTTTACTCCTTGAACTTTATGAACACAACTTCTTAAGTATATTAACATAATATTTCTCAAGTATTTAATAAGATATAAAACATAGAATTTAAAATTTTGATGTTAATAATTATGTATCTAGACAAATTTAAATTCCTTAAATTTAACAATATTTAATTAGACACAAGCAAATATTTATATGAAATTATATAAAGTAAAGATATATACATATAAGTTTGCATTAACATCCCAAAATATTCCATACAAAACATTAATTTAAAATACATTAGTTTTCTATTTAGAGAAAGTTCTATTTAATTTGTAGCAATATAAATATATCTTTCATATTTCAAATAGGATGAACTTTAAAAAAAAACATAGACAAAATAAAGTTTATAATATCAAGGTTACTTAACCTCAATAAAAAAAAATGTCAATAATAACATGTCAATAATCTAATGTAATAAATTTTTTTTATTACATCTCCTACACAAAATTAATTCCTAATGTCAGACATCCTAATATCATTTATCACTCATTATATAGGCCAACCAAATCAATACTGATATTGATTCCAAATCAATATTATTAGTCATCTTCTTAATCGTGACTAATCAAAAATGTATCGATACCAATTTTTTTAATATCATTAGATTCCACTTCATGAATAGTTAATTAAATTTCAAAATAATGTTGACACTAGTATAACCTCATATGCTTTATTAGCTTCCATAATTCTAGAATGGTCAATTAAGTCCATGTATTTATTAATATCAATATAATCTTATTGGTATTATTAGCCTTCATAACCTATAAGGCTAATAAAGTTTCGTTCGACATTTTTCTTTTTATATTTTTGGTGTCTTTATATTTGACAATGGTTAATCAAGTTCTTATTCTAGTAAATACCAATATCAATATATCACATTGATATCATTGCTTTCAAATTATCTTGGATAGATAATCAAGTTCACAATTATTTATTTTCTTTCACTTTATTATTTTTTATATGTTATTCATGAATTGTGTTTCCAAAGAAATTATAATTAACATAATTTAAAAGAAATAATTTAAATATATCAAAGTATAA